AGACCAACCAACAAACAAAAAGCACTGTGCAAATTATTTTTTAGAGTTGCTAGTTCTGGATCATTGAGTAAACAAATATTCCTAGGGTATTAAAAAAAGAATATGCTAGAAACAGCTTATTAAGATTAGTTTACACATAGCAGTAATATAAAAATGGTTTTATAGAGTAAGTCAGAAAAATGTTCTCTCTCACTTCTTTCTAAAACCAGCATATGACAAAGTTGTCATCCAGCTTGGATCACAGAGCTTCAAAATATTTTATTATTCTGCACACAGCATGCAAGAATAATTATACTTTCTGCAGCAAGTAACACTGAGTTCTGTATCTGTGAAGTTCTGTTTTGTTTTTTTTTTTTACTTAAATAAGCTGAAAAAGGAGAAAAGGGAAAACACCTACTGAAGTACTCCTGTTGCATTTTTTCCCTGGTAACTGAAACTCGAGTAAGAAAAAGAAAAATTGGAGGAAAATGTCCTTGGAAACACGTTTAACTAACATTTCCTTTATAATACAAGTACTGGCTGTAATTGTTGCATAAACGTTCCTAGATACCCACATTTTGAAATTTCTAATAGTGCAAACATAATTTCTCTCTTGAAAAATAATTACTGATTTTGTTTTTAGAGTTATATCATTTATTTAGTTTTCTAATACAGAATTTCAGACTACTTCAGACACCCAAAGTTGACAGGTCCCAAGGTTGAATGGACTTGCAAAAGTACAAACTAGCTGTTATTATAAGACACACACTCTCAGGATCCAGTCACATTAACAAAGAGACAGGAATAAACTATTCGCACAGTATGTTCCAGTGTCAGTGTTCAATTGCCAAAGTAGGTCACATGGGAACAGGTTTCTTTGCAGAAAAATACTTTGAGGCATAGAAGAGTCTTTGAAGAACAGATGTCCGAATGTAGCACCCATATTCATCAAACATAACAAAAAAGATTGTATAAACCAAGATTCTTGCACTGAAGAAACATAAACTTTTTTTTTCCTTTTTTTTTTATAATAATAACTGTCAGGAGCAAAAACATACATAATTTACTTGGGGGTGAAAAGAAACCTGTTTCTCTCACCATATACTGAGTTCTGGGAATGCTCATCTTGAGTTTTCATGCTCCAAGACAGTGGTATAGGTTGAAAGTCTAATGATAAGTCCTCTAGATAATGTAACTTCTTGGATAAGTCCTGTTTTAAATTCAGTGCTGTGAAGGATTATATCCCCTACAACATAAACTAGTGACCCTGAGGTCACTATTTGTCCACTGATGAGGTCCCAGGATCTAAGGTACTTGGGATTTAGTAAGTACTTAACAAATATTTTTGAATGAATGAATGATAGCAATGCCCCAATATACTTAGGTTCTCATAATGTAGTGTATGCAGACTATATTAAAATGAAGGTTTCATTAAGGCAATAGCTAGGTCTTAAAACCATGGGCACTAAAATGTGTCCTAGACTTCCTTCATAAAATTTGGCACAAACCAGGGCCTTTTCCAAATAGCAGATTATTTGACGCAGAACATTTTACTCTACTCTCTATGTAACAATAATATAGAGTGGAAATAATCCACTTCAGGAAGCAAATCAAAAGCTCTCCATCTCAGCTCATTGCTACAACAGTATTGGAAGCAGAAACATCTCACCTCTCAGCACACACGCCCATATACTTTACCCTGTCACATACAGGACATTTTGAAACAAGGCATGAAGCCTTCGTTCTTTCTCTTCTCATATTCCCTCATAGCAACACCCACTAGTCCCTCCACTGCTAAGGCTTTCCAAGAAATTCTGTAGAATTTGTTAAGGATCCAAGAACTATTTGGCCTTACCTGGGATATGGGGTAAAGAGCTTTATTCTCAGAGCCAGTCATCAGTTCAGATGTAATTTCCCTCCAGAATCTTCCATGATTCCTTCTCAACTGGCTAAGTCATCCTCCTCTCTGATCCCATAATACCTGAGCCTCTCTTAGACCGCCAACTGTATTGAAATTATTGCTGAGTAGCTGTTTCCTCCCACTAAATTGTAGACTGTCCAAGGGCCCATGTCCTATTCCTCCTTACATTTGTCACAGTGGGTGGTGCAGTACCTAGAATACAGGAAGATGCCCCATCAGTGCTTGCTGGACTGTCTACTCAGTCTCCACGCTCCCCTGCAATCATTATCCCGAATGGCTATACAGTGACAAATGGAATATCTCTGCTAGAAATGCTTCTTTAATTGAAGGCATTATTTGATAGTACCATCTCATAAAGGACGTCATGTCTGCTTGAAGAAACTGTCATCCGGGATCTCACGATACACTGGAGTTAGTCAAGATCTTGGTTCCAAGTCATAGAAATCCAAATAGCACTAGCTTAAGCCAAAGGAGGAATTCATTACAAAGATACTGACAGGTCTCATGGAGGCTACACACAGGAACCGAACAAAGCTAAACTCCGAGATCACATGGGACAGGAACTCAGACTGTCAGGAAACTCGCCTCTCACCTCGGTTCCTCTTTCACCAGGTTCTTTGCTTTTCTGGTCCTCACGGAACAAAACATGACTGTCAATAGCTTTGAATTGCACATCTGTATACTCCAAGAACCCAAAGAAGGATAACTTTATTTCAAGTTCCCAATTTCCCTGGAAATGACTCCAATTGGCCCAATTCCATTAATTGCCCACCTTAGATCAACCAAATACAGCTGTTGCTCATGATCAATTGTGTCCAACTCTTTGCAACCCCATGGACTGTAGCTTACCAGGCTGCCCTGTCCATGAGGTTCTCCAGGCAAGGATCCTGGAGTGGGCTGCCATTCCCTTCTCCAGGGGATTCTCCAACCCAGGGATCAAACCCACGTCTCTTGTGTCTCCTGCATTGGCAGGCGGGTTCTTTACCACTAGCACCACGGAGGTGAGGTTAAAAATATGGCCAGGCTGCTGAGTAGCCAGTCTCATAAGTGTCTGCCACATTTTCAAATTCTTCAGTTTCCAAGGAAAAAATATGGTCAGAGTAAACTATTTCAAAGGTATTCATGATAGTTGCTATAAAACACAAGGTTTTGTAAGGCAATAATGCTCAATTTTATTTCTATTAAAAATGTGTGGTAACAATAGAAAATTCCTAAGCAAATATATATTTGCTTTGTTTTAAAAATAAATTTATTTTATTACACGATAATACTGACAGTTTACATAAATGAGGTCATTCAGTATAGGCAAAAAAAAAATTATAAAATACATTTTAAAAACATAGGAAAATCTTTGAAGTTCTTTCTTGGTAGTTCAGATCTACCAAATTTCAAGAGACACATTTTAGCATCAAAACAAAATTTCCAAGCTTAATTTCCTTGAGAGATTCCATTGGTCAACCAACCTCGGTTAAGGAAAGAAGAAACATTTAGCATTTTTAAAAATTTTAAATGCTCTAATGAACATTTGTTTCAAGCACTCTTAGTAAAGACTGAGAAAGAGAAAGCATGAAGAAACTCAGAAGAAGCTTTTGAAAAGAGTGTATACAACAGGAATCAGGTGAAATTGATCCTATTTCAAGGATGGTCATTGTTTGACCTAGTTCTTACTGATATTTGAGCTGTTTCTGTGTTATACTTAAGCACGGCCTCATTCTCACTTGAAATACGGCATGTTATAAAAAAGTAATACAGAACTTCACCTTTTCTCTGAATTCTCTGCTTCATTTCAGGCATGAAGTCTACACTGCAAATTAGAATTTACAAAGATTCTGGAAAAGCTGCTTTGCCGACAGGCACAACAGCCAAATTGTAGTAATTTGAGGACATCTGCCATCAGTTTTTATAAATGATCCACCCAGTCAAGGTAGGAAATTCCATATTCTATGGAATTTTGACTAAATGTGCATTCTGCTTTTTCAGATTTAAAAAGAATCTTTATTAAATGTAATATGGAGTTGAGCATTTGGCAAGATGGTCCCAAGTAACAGCTGACTATGGTCATAATTTGATTGCACTAAAATTCATCTGAGAGCAATCACAGGTACTGTTTTCTTGTGTGCTAAGTCACTTCAGTTGTGTCCGACTCTTTGTGACCCTACAGACCATAGCCCACAAGGCTCCTCTATCCATGGGACTCTCTAGGCAAGAGTGCTAGAGTGGGTTGCCATGCCCTCCTCCAGGGGATCTTCCCAACCCAGGGATCGAACCTGTGTCTCTTAAGTATTCTGCATTAGCAGGTGAGTTCTTTACCACTAGTGCCACCTGGGAAGCCCCAGAAGAACAAAAATGAGGATATGCCTCATACATCTCTGCCTGGGCTCTGCTGTGCTGTCCCTGACCATTTACCCCAGGATGAATAGCCTCTTCCAGTGCTTTATCTATCCTTTAGCAAGCATAAACATTTATCTGGAGCTTAAAGATGGTCATGCAATTACTTTCCATCTCTGTCATTTTCCTAACTGTGGGACAAATCTGTTTGCTTTATTTTTTTTTTTTTTTCATTTATTTTTATTAGTTGGAGGCTAATTACTTTACATCATTGCAGTGGTTTTTGTCATACATCTGTTTGCTTTAGAAATGTAAAAATGTATGTATATCACTGAGAATTTACAAAGGAGCAAAGAAACATAATGAAAGTCAAGCCTATAGAAAGCATGATGGTAACAGTATCGTATATTCAGGACTATGCAACCTGAGTTTCTGCAGGAAAAGGTACCAGTGCCTCAGTCATTGCACACACAGTTTAGTGTAATGTCTTGGGTTATATTGTGCATTAGGTTGCAACAACTCCAGTGAACAAAAATGATGGTTAAGAGCAAACTTTGAACTTGGCTAAAGATTGGTTCCAATTTCAGCTCCACCAATTCCTAACTCTATAAATCAGGGTTAGATTATGTAACTTCTTGTGTTGTGTTAGTCACTCAGTCGTGTCTGACTCTTTGCGACCCCGTGGATTGTGGCCTGCCAGGCTTTTCTGTCCGTGGGATTCTCCAGGCAAGAATACTGGAGTGGATTGCCATTCCCTTCTCCAGAATATCTTCAAGACCCAGGGATCAAATCCCGGTCTCCTGCATTGCAGGCAGACTCTTTACCGTCTAAGCCATCAGGGAATGTCCTTTAGCTTCTTAAGGTCTGTTTCTGTACATGAGAAATGAGGATCATAGGTTTTTGAAAGAATTAAAGGAAATAATGTATTTCAAACTCTTAGCACATAGTAAGTGTTGGATAAATGGTAATTTTATTATTAATGCAATTCCTAAGATCTAAACTCCTTCCTGCTCTTTTTTGTTTGGCTAGTAATTTTGGTGACAAAACTTAACTGGAAGTTTATTAAAATGTCCCTGCTTAACTGGGTGCTTTTCCCAAATACTATATAATAATAAAATTACTCATTATTATTATAAAAACATAGTAAACAACACAAATTAACATTACCGACAAAAAGTAAATACATTATTTAAAATTCATTTTGCTAGCTGTTTCCTGAGACACACTCTGTCCATTTTCAAATGAGTAAGAAGATACTTTGTAACTTGTCATCAGCCTGGAGTAATCTTCAGAGACTATAGGAAAAAGGAAAGAAAAGAAAAAAAAGAAAAAAGCAAGTCATTAAAAAGAAACTTACTATGTAATAAAAAGAAAAACACATACACACACAAACTCAAGCAGGAAACCGTGGGTACTCTGTGGGTACCACTGTCAAGTTTATTATTAACCTACCTGAACCTGTATTCATTTTGTTCTTCAAAACTTGTCCTCCTCAAGATTGAGGAATATACAAGAAAAGGGGGGAATTGTAACCGAGCAAGACCCTATGGGGCCTTCCTGAGATCTGCCTTCACCCATATCCTCTGCTTCATGTACTCTCTCAAGTACCTAATTCATAGTATTTGATGCAAATTTCCTGACTTATTTTGGCGATGGGAAAACCTCCCACCAAATGGAAGAAGTTACCTACCTGATGACCCTGAACACATAGCCCCAAGTCTCCTGGAACCTTAAAACTGATAATGTTAATCCCTATGACACCACCCTGCTGCCTCATCATCAGCCATTCAGAGAACTGCCAAGTTGATCACGTACCCAGCCATTCCACCTCCCACTTGCCCTTTAAAAAGGCTTTGCCGAAACCCTTAGGGAGCTCCAGGTTTTTCAGGGCATGAGCCACCTATTCTCCTTGCTATCTCATAAAACATACACACACACCAAAAATAAAACAAAACCCTCCAGAATCAGTATTTTTGTTTTCAATTCATTCATGTCATTCTGATAATAAGCAAGAAGAACATTATAATTTCTCGATAATCATTTACTGTATTCTATTGTTCTGCTGAGCGATTCTGGAAAAGGAGACTTTGCTGGGCAAGCTACGGAAAGCCACCATTTTCTCCTGTTGGATGAACAAGGCAGCGTGTGGCCACGGTTGCTGCTAGCTTCTTCTATGACCTAAAAGGACTTAGCCAAGGATGAAGCCAACTCTTAGAATGGTAAGCAGAAAGGCAGAAATAATAGTTCTCTGCATGAGAACTCTGGTACAAGCAAATGTGAACGTTCTCTTTCCTCTGGACTGCCAGTGCATGTGAGGCAATACATCGCCTTTATTTGAAGCCAGCTTGGTGGGGTTTGATGCCATTATAGACCAGATTACCCTGCCTGACTCAGCCAGCTATGTTCCATCTGCCCCCTGGAGCCTTCCCCTGCTCAGTTCTCCAAGGGGAGCCCAGACTGCAGCCTGACCTATGGACTGCTTCACATGGGCTCCCCTGCCCCCCTGAGTTCCTGTTGGGTTTGGCTAGTGAAAGGTACTTGCTGAAGATCTGAAGGCAAGAGGACAGAGGTTTGGGGATATTCTTCTCCCGCTCCTGCCTCCTTCCTTGTTCAGGTGCTGACCATGGCTATTCCCATCCATAGCTACAGCTCCTGCCTGGTGGGCCCGAGAGCACAGCCAGCTTCTCAATGGCAAGGTAAGTGTTTTTCAGCCCTTTCAGGCCTAGGTGGGGGACAGCCTCCAGCAGTTGCTAGACCCTGGGAGACTCAATATTCCTATGGGTTCCCTCAACCCTGCCCTCCCAGCCCCTTCATCAAAATGCCTTTGTTGGATCATCTGAGAGAATTTGTGACTCCTGCTGGGATCTCAAATGATGGAGCATTTAAAAGAGCCTTGAACAGTGCTTGGAATGTGGTAGATGCCCTGTAAATGTGGTTATTATTAAAACACTGCTTTTGCTATTTCCTTTCAAAGTGAGATGTCTAAACTAAAATTTTTATTTGTGTCCCCCAGTGAAAAATATATCAAATATCTTATAATATTTTATAAGAATATAAAATCACCACCACAACCATGCAGAACTAGAAACCAGAATGATCTAAGTGCATCAGAAAAACTGTGTAAAAGTCTATATCCTATCTCTGTGGTACCATGCAAAAGAAAGATATGATAAAGTCTTTTATTTGGCTTCAGATTCAATGAAAAAAATGTCAATTTATTTTTAGATGATTTTAAACATAATCAAATTCCAATCAATGATTTACTGGATGCCATGAAACCCCACTTCACCAGGCAAATGTAACCTAAAGAGCTCCCCATCTACTAAGTTTATCATACTTACCATTAAGCAATACTAGTCTCTTGAATATCATCATTTATAGGAGTTATATCTTTACCCAGAGTTCCCATTTCTTCTTCCTTCTTTCTTCTTTTCCGACGTTTCCGAAGAGGACTTGGAAAACAAAGTGTTAGAAATTAGCATGGTCCTTTTAGTTAATGCAGTCACAAAATTAAACATCAAGAAAGCCTATGATCTTATTTCCAGACTGGTAAAAATGTACAGGTTCATTAAAAAAAAATTTAGGTTCTCTCTTAACCCATCCCTTTCTCTAGGCTCAAATAGCTACAATAGCAAAAGTACAGAGAAAATGTAGTTATAGCTACATAGGAGGAATATAGTACTTGATTGTGGATAGAGCTTGTTGAGCACAAGAAAACTTTTCAGGCCAAGTCATTTTATAGAATAGACTGATAAGCATTATTTAGTATGTAAATAAAAGATAGTACAAAATGGAAACTGACATAAAACTAAGAGAATGAGGGTAATCTCTGAATATGTTAATTAAGTTTCTAGATAAATTATTTAAGAAATGTATTAGATATTCTGTAGTGCAGTTCAGTTTGCTTAAAATATGATACAAAATGAATGCAATAAAATAGAGCATTTCCCCACTCTGCCCCAAACTTGGCATTCGAAAATTCCTTTTTGCCATAAAGGAAGTAAAATGTTACAAATATCTTTCAATTTTATATCTAGAAGGAATCCTACAGATTATTTGTAAACGAGAGTTTAATCCTCTCATTTTACAGAAAATAAAATTAAAGTTTGAAGAGATTAAGAAGTTTGTCCAAGTTTTCAAAAGTGTTTGATGGCACAGCTGGGACAAAAATCTCTGTAGACAGCTGGTAGCTGTGTTAACGCTTTTCTACCAAGAATGCTTAAAGAAAGGAATCATGTAACACCCTCCTGTAATGAGAACCACGGTCCAAAGTACAGCTTAGGAGGCTTCTCAAGACATGAAGGTAGCATTTTAAGAAAATGCTTTTTTAGCATGCTTTGCGGGAGTCCTGGCCTGATAAAAAATTTGATGAGTTTCCAAAACTAAAGCATTGTACTAAGCCATTCTGTCTCACAGAAAAAAAACAAGGATTTTCTTGATTAACAAAGTTGAGGTATTTAATGAAAAATAGAGACAGGAGAAACAGTGCAGGCACCTTAATAATAAAATTCATTATTTTAATGTGACTAATAAAAAATACTTTTGTTTCTGTCTTTCAAAGTTTTTGTGCCATGGTACAGTTTAAGAAAAGTATTGTTTAAACTATTAACAAACTTACATCAAAGGTGATGGACTCTAGGGCTAAATAATTGACTTTTTTTAATTTCCTTGGACTACAAGGAGATTAAACCTGCCAATCCTAAAGAAAATCAACCCTGAATATTCATTGGAAGGACTGATGCTGAAGCTGAAGCACCAATCCTTTGGCCACCTGACGTGAAGAGCTGATTCACTGGAAAAGACCCTGATGCTGGGAAAGATTGAAGGAAGGAGGAGAAGGGGACAACAGCTCAAACTCTCCTTGATAGTGAAGGACCAGGAGGCCGGGCGTGCTGCAGTTCATGGGGTTGCAGAGAGTTGGACCTGACTTGGCAACTGAACAACAAAACTGACATTTTTAATTGATATATAATTGATGTATAACATTTTATTCATTTCAGGTATGACTTGATATTTGTTTATATTGAAAATGATCACCACAATAAGTTTAGTATTTAATATCCATCTCCACATTTACAAAATTTTTCATTCTTGTGATGAGAACTTTCCAGATCTCCTCTCTAAGAAACTTTCAAATATTCAAGACTGTATTATTAACTATAATCACTATGTGTACATTACATCCCATGACCTGTTTATCTTATAAGTTTATACGTTTGGGTCGCCTTCATCCATCTTGCCCACTTCCTCTTTCTCAGAGGCTTTATATAAATTTTAATTATAATTACGCTTAGAAAAATGACAAAAATCATGTTATGTATTTATTATAAATGCTTCAGAATAAATGATGGGGAACTGTAAAAAGTAATTTAAATTTTTAAAAAAGGGAAAGAGAAAAGGCAGGAAGGAGGGTAGGAAATAAGACAGGAAAGGAAAGATAAAAGTTCTTAGACTTCCTTAAAATTAAATTTAAAAATACTTACTGACAGCATGTGCAGATACTGACCACCAAAATGATAAAAATTACCATAACTGCTATCAAACAAATCACCAAAATCTGCCCTCTGTCTCCTCTTAGGTAAAACAAGTCAATTCTCTCACATCTGGCCCCAGCATAGCCTTTATCACAGCTATAAAAATAGAACAAAAACAGGACAACAAGGTCAAAAAGTAAAAGACTTTTAAGAATCTCTACTATTTCTTTGTTGAAGAAGTTAACACTTTTTTCATTACTTGGAATTAACAAAGGGTACAATTCCTTTAAAAAAAATGTGTTTAAGCTGTACAATCACTGTGTTCATGAGAAATTTCATTCTTTGCTGAAAACCTGTTATCCTTTGAACGTCATTAACAATATGTCTAAGATAAATAAATGGGGAGGGTAACACTAAAATCGACCTTGAAATTTTAGATTCTGAGTTTGAAAGGGAGGGGGTGATAAAATCCCCTATACAGCACTCGCAAGTGCTTAAATATCCCTGGACAGGGAATTCAAAAATCCCCAGGATTTCCCATTTCATCAGAGGGTGATACAAAGAGTTTCACTGTGCCTGAGTTCTCCTATTATAAATTATATTTAAAGGATACAGTTTTATATGATCAAACATGGAAGGTACAAAAAGCTCTGTAAATGTTATTTTATAGGATTTCTCTCCACATACCTTCCCCCACCCCCTGGCCTCTCTTTTGATCTTCCATGCATCAGTTCTGGTTCTAATGTTTGTAGGAGTCGCAGATTAGGTAAGTCTCTTCCATTCACCACCTCCCCAGCTGCATTTCCCCTCAAAACACAATAGATGTCCTCTCCAGTTCCTTTATCTGATTCTCTAAAGCCACAGTTTCAGATCTGTGCACCATTCCCTATGTGCTTAGGAGCGCGGTCGTGTCTGACTCTTTTGGGAACGCCATAGACTGTAGCCCACCAGGCTCCTCTGTCCATAGGATTTTTCAGCCAAGAATACTGGTGTGGGTTGCCATTTCCTCCTCCAGGGTATCTTCCCCACCCAAGGATCAAACCTGTGCCTACTACATTGCAGGGAGACTCTTTACCCTCTGAGTCATCGGGAAGACCCACCTTTCCCTCTGCTCTCTAAAGGCCCCGCTGCTGCATGCATGGTCATGGTAAAGTGAAGGCATCAGAAATCAGCAAGCTCTCCAAATGCCCCAATCCCCCCTCTCATTCTCTCATCAACTTCATCAATACAATCCCGAGTTGACCTCAACATAGCAGATGCCCCCTGTCTGAAGTTACAGAGCCATTTGACCAAGCACCACCTAAAATTCAGTAATCTGGGGACTGTCCATGGCAGTCATTGACTTGTGTCAGATGCCTAAAGGATGCATAAAAAGTTTGTCTGAAGATATTTGAAAACCAAAATGATATGTTGTAACATCACTACTTTTGGCTATCAAATATCTTCTCTTTTTTTCTCCTCAGGCTCATTCCAAACACAAAGAGATACTGGTCGTATACATAATTATTTAAATCTCAGAAAGATGAAGCTCTGCTTCTTAAAAAGATGGCTGTGTAATTTCATTTTTTGTTGTCTTTGTTTGTTTAAGAAGGTATCTATTGCCAAGCCACTCTAGAGTCTATATCTGAAAAAAGACAAGGCAGCTTTATTTCTCAAATAAGGAGGTCCCTGACTGATGATATTGTAGCTGCTACAATGATTAAAAAAGAAGAAAAGAAAAACTAGCTTGGTCACAGCCATCAGTTGAAAGATGAGGCTCTATGTAAGCAAAGGAGAAAAAAACCACCTGAGGCCATCTATTGTAAAATGACCCCAGGATGTATGAGGGAAAATTGCTTCCTGCAAGATAGCTAGGCTCTTCATCGCAAGGTCAAAATAACAGGAAGAGAGCTTAGAAATATCTGAAATATCAAAAAATCTCTTGCACATAGAACTGGAAATGGGGGGGAAATCACTTTTAATTGCAAGTGTGGGAGGGAGGTTTTAATGGGTTTTTTTAAGGTTATAATTAAAATCTACAAACATAGTCTCATCTAATTAGCTGGAATGTTTCTCTAACAAATTTACTAAATATGGCATTTTTAAACAATAACTTTGCCCATAAAGTACATGGCAATTACTTGCTACTCTTTTAGAATGCTTTCCTAATTATAAGCTCTGGGTTCAGTTACTCACCCATGCTTTAAATGAATTTCTCAGTAAGCAGTCCTTCCTATAAGTTTTAACCCAGTGAAGCTATGTAGAAGGTCAAACCCTTACACAGCTAGTTACAATGACTCATGTTATTTCATTGCTCATCTAATTAATAACGTATCAGCTAATGATCATTTCAGTGGGAAAGGAAGAGGAAAAGGGTGAAAGATGCTAGCAAATGTTTAATAAATGCTGAGCAGATGAACGAGTTTTTATTTAATAAACATTTCATAAATTAAAAATAACATTTAAAGATGCTATGACCCTTGAGGACTCTGGGATCTCTGTTCTGAAATAATCACTAGGCACTATTGTAAGAACTTTATAAGTATCAACTAATTGATCCTTATAACAACCTTTGAAATAGTATTATTAACCCCTTTTGGAAGATGGAGAAGTTGAGATATAAAGAAAGTAGGTGAGTGGGGGCTAGGATTCAAACACAGGAAGTCTGGCTCCCAAGTTGTCCAACCACATGTAACACTGCCCAGGGATCAAACTCTCATTTCCTGAGGCTCCTGCCTGGCAGGCAGATTCTTTACCAAATGAGCCACTGGGCTTCCAAGGTGGCTCAGGGATAAAGAATTCACCTGTCTCCTGCAAAAGACTTGGGTTCGAGGGTTCAGTCCCAAGGTTGGGAAGATCCACTGGAGAAGGAAATGGCAATCCACTCCAGTATCTCATCTAGGAAATCCCATGGACAGAGAAGCCTGGCTGGCTACAGTCCATGGGGTGGCAAAGAATCGGACATGACTTAATGACTAAAGAATAAGTGAGCTGTGCCATCTAAAATAAAAGTTATGTATCTGGAAACAAATCATCCCCATCCCCCCTCCCCCTCCCCCAAAATACTGAGAAGACTAAGAAGGGATTGAGTTATTTGAAACACACACTTTGGTTTTTTATATAAAGACAGGAGTCCACAACTCCCGTGATCCCAAACAAAAGGAGAAATTTCTGGTTTCCTAAGACGGCATAATTGCCAGTGGCAAGACAGTTTTGCCTGAATCTGTGCTACACCAAATCGCCTAAAAGGTGAAGCCTAGTTGAATAGCTCCCATTCAATTCAATAGTACATTTATGGAACATTTACTCTCTGCTGGGTACCACAATAAATATTTTTGCTTGAAGTATTATTTTGCTTAATTTTCAACACTTGAAAGAAGGATATTATTATCTTCTTTTATAGATAATTAAACACCCAGGAAAGGTAACCAACTCATTGCTAATGCTGCTCATAGTTGGTTGAAACCAAATCTTAGGTGTATTTTACTCCAAAGACGCCAATGTTCTTCCTCCCCACCACCCCACTGCCCTCCTTGGTTTTATACCATTTCACCACTAAGAAGGTGTTCCTGGTTCAGATTAAAGCCTTGGAATTGACATTCAGCACAGCACTAGATCAAACCCGGATCTCTTGCTTTGCGGGCAAATTCTTTACCTCTTTATTGTCTGAGCCCCCAGAGAAGCCCCCAGTGGTAAAGAACCCATCTGCCAATGCAGGAGATGTAAGAGATGCCATTTCGATCCCTGGGTCAGGAAGAGCCCCCGGAAGAGGAAATGGCAACCCCACTCAGTATTCTTACTGAGAGAATCCCATGGACAGAGTAGCCTGGCAGACTGCAATCTATAGGGTCTCAAAGAGTGGGACATGACTGAAGCGACTTAGCATGCACGCAGGCACAGCACTAGATGAACTGTGACAGAGTGACTTGTTCATTTATGCATCAGATGTTTCTTGAGCACCTAGTAAATTCTAGGCCCTGTGCTTGGCACTGGAATATGAGAATGAATAAGCCATCATCCCTGCCCTCTAGGAATTCAGTCACAGAAGCGAGGTTCAGAGAAACCAACAGTGATACTCCAGGGGGAAAGACCTTTTCATTGAAACGTGACGAGATCACTGAGGAAGAACATCCAACTCAAGTCAGTGCAGGGATCCAGGAGGAGCTCATGTTTGAGCTGTATTTTAAAGCTTCAGTAAGAATAAACTTTCCAGACTATGAGAATAGCTTGTCTAATAAACCCTGCAAAGGAATGTAGGATTTCATAAGAACATTTGAGAATGTGGTGAGAAATATGGCTGGAAAGTCAAGCCATTCAACTATACTTCAGTGAAAACATATATATATATAACCAAAAAGGTCAGTGAGAGGAGTGATTCAAGATGATATTAGAGAGGAGACTAGAGACCAGATAATCTACTGAAAGGTATGATTATTCTGGAAACAAGTAAGAAGAGACACTTATGGTTCAAAGTATGACCATGACTTCCTTTACATATGAAAATGTCAGCTCTCCCTGAATTAGTCTGTTAATTCAATATAATCCTAATAAAAGAAAAACAAAATAAAACAACCAAAAAGGTTAAGGCAGCATCAGAGGCGCTTTAACAAAACTCTGACTGAGGGAGACAGGCTGGGTAATTCTGCTGTTGTTTAGTTGCTAAGCCATGTCCAACTCTTGGTAACCCACAGGCTGCCAGGCTCCTCTGTCCATGGAATTTTCCAGGCAAGAATACTGGAGTGGGTTGCCACTTCCTCCTCTAGGGGATCTTCCCAACCCAGGGATTGAACCCTAGTCTCCTGCATTACATTTAGATTCTATACCACTGAGCCACCTGGGAACACCAGCAGGTAGATTACACCTGTGGTTTTCGTTCTAGAAAGCCGCAATATTAAAGAACAATACATGTACAGACATAGGGACCAGTAGGAGAAATGTACTGGGTTAAGAGGCATTAATCTTTTAAAAATTCATTAAATTCTCCAAAGCCAGTAAGCAAATAAATAAAATCTTTAAAAATCAGCTCTATCTTTCCTAACACATGTAAGCACATTTTCCTTATTTCCTTACATTAGGTTTTTTTCTTATTCCCCTCTAAGTATTACCTATGTATATTGTTTTCTTAATTGAATTAAATTATAATCAAACTTTGAAGAAGTCCACAACTCTTCAATTTCCCCACTATAGCAGGGCTTGGAATCACTGTCCTGAGATACTTGTAGGGGCGGGGTGGGGGGAAGAATACTGGGGCAACTACACAGAAGAACATAAGCATTCTATGAACTTTAGGTCAAAATTATATTTTAAAAAAAGTCACCTTGTTCTTTTACGAGGTAAGGTCTCAGCACTTTAGCAAGACATCTTTAGCAGAAAATAAATATTTAAGATATGCAGAAAATTTGTTTGTGCCTGAGTAAAATTAAACTTGGACTCAATCTAGCAAGAGTTGGAAAGAGAACTCTCCTCCCAGTCTTCTGCTGTACTAAACAGACTTTATGGATCTCTAAAAATAGGACTGATTTCCATGCACTTAATTGACACCTGCAAAAGTAGCTTTGAATTTGGCAGAAATTTCCTTCATATTTACATTCACAATGAACCACCTAACAAATGCCAGAAGAATGTGTTCGAGTTTGAACCACACCAGGGTTTATTTGAGCTGAAAAGCACCCTTAACACTAGACAGACACAGTTTTGCTTGCTCAAAACAGCAGAGGAACATGAGCCCACCCCTGAAGGCGATCTGGACTCCCGCATGCTCAGATTTCAGCAAGAAAGTGTGCGTCAGTTTCTCCGTAAGTCACCGCCCCTAAACAAGTGGGGCGGGGTTTGGGGGGGGTTGGGTAGGGCCAGGGAGAACTGTGACCTGACAGATGGCTGGGTTAGCTCAGACTTTCCGCTCCTGTCACCTCCCCCCACCCCAAGCCAGCTCCAGTCTGTACCCCTTGGCTTGTAAGCGCCGTGCTCCACTTACACGCAGGAGGGCGTCTGCTCGGCCAGCACGAAGCGACATCTCCCTTTAATGCAGTAATGCTTGTATTGTTTGGGGCACCGAGAGAAGTGGCCTCTTCTCTTTGGTTGGGTGGTGGTAACTGGAGAAGGAGAAATGACTCAGTAATCAGCTCACTTCAAATGCACATTTGTAAATGTAATAGAATTACATTCCTACCGGTGTCGCCAGTGTTTCTGCAGAATATACTCCAATTTCTCATCGCTGCTTCCCTCCACACTGGGATATGTCAGGCTTTGGGGACCAGAAACTTGCCCTAGAGATTGGCTATTGGGGAATGTGATGGGAATGTTTCAGATTTTAACTAAGATTTCTGTTCAAACGACCTCTCAGTAACTGCCGCGGTGTTTAAAGGGTAAACATAATTGTGATAGAAGAGAAGACTGGGAAGATTGTCAGAGGTGTGGGGCTGATGGCATTGAAAAGAGAGGAGGGTTTTTGTTTGTTTGTTTGTTTTTACTTTCTTCTTTTCCTTTTTTAAAACTTAAACACAGCACTTACTGAGTGCCAGATGCTGGTCAATATGCTTTTTTTATATAGATAGTCACCCCTTGGTATCTGAGGAGACTGATTCCAGGACCCCAGCTGATACCAAAATCCAGAGATGCTGAGGACCCTTATATAAAGTGGCATTTACAGTCAGCCCTCGGTATCGCCTGGTTGGATCTGTGGTTGCCTGCATCTGAGGATGCTAACCGGAACCCGCAGATTGGGGGGGGGGGGGGGGCTGTATCAGCTCATTTAATACTCATAACAGCCTTGTGAGGGAAGCACCATTCTAACTCCTATTTATGCATGGGCGCAGCACAACACTGGGAAAGACTGAAGGCAGGAGGAGAAGGGGCCAACAGAGGACAAGACGGTTGGATGGCATCACCGACTCAGTGGACGTGAGTTTGAGCAAGCTCCGGGAGGTGGTGAAGGCCAGCGAGGCCTGGCGTGCTGCAGTCCACGGGGCCGCAAAGAGCCAGACACGACTGAGTGACTGAGCAACGACAAAGCACCGCACATAGAGGCTAAGTTACTTTCCCAGATCCCGCAGCTAGCGCGTGGCAGAGCTGGGACGCGAACCCAGGCAGGCTGTGCATTTGACTGCTCCACTCTGCCAGGCAGGCCGCAGTCACCTGCCCTCTGCCTGAGGCACCCTCAGGTCCTGCTTCTCTGAATCGAGATTATCCCTCTCATCGGACCCCTGCAGGGCTCTTCCCGTCTGAACGAGGAAAAGACTGGAAGCTTCATATCCAGGATTTCATTCCCTATACTGACTTTTTTCTGACCTTTTAGCATCTTAATTGCCTAATTTTTCAATTAGGGAAATAGCGGGGGATAATATGGAGCAACTTCTCCATCATTTACCTGTAGAAAGTTTCCATAAACAAGGGCTGTCAAGAGAAACACTAAAAAATGCTAACTAGCTGTTTCATGGGTTGATTCACAACAAACACCTGCCCACACCCAGAGAAAACAGCTAACTAGCCAGCTGACCCAGGGTCGGACATTCGATTGTCATGGTATGACCAACAGCTCGCAGGACTCAGATACCTGTGAAATCAGAAAGTCCATGGTGGTCACGACAGAAGGGCATTGCACATTAGGTTTGGTATGGCACCTGTCACCTCGATGACGTTAAACAATCCTTTTAGAGATAGCAATGACCACTGAACTTTTAATTAATATTGTGAAATGAGTAAATATATAGCCACCCAGGGTCACCACAAAGGACACTCGCAAAGGACTCTGGCTGATGGATACAGACGAAATTCCTGGGATGCCAGGTCACAGAGTTTCAGAGGGTGGAAGAACATTGCAGAGGAACTGGCTGACCTGGTTTTGGTCGGTGACTTGATTACCAGTCATGCTGACTGCTTGTATGTGCCAGACATTTGCTCCCATGCCTGCCAGTCAATGGACTCTGATTGAAATTTCTCCCATAAATAACTGCAAAATATCTCAAAGGCAAAGATCTGTGTATTTTGGCAAATAAATTAACCGAATGAAAATCAACTTCCATTCATTGAGTATTTCCTCTTTCCAGAGGCCTGTAGTAAGCGTTAGAAAACATCAAAGAAATAAGAGATACCCTATCTAACTAGCTACATTGGCATGATAGAACAAATTTAATTCAATAATAAGCAACAAACCAGTGAAAACAACCATAGTAACCATGTAAACAGTGTGGTACACTGGAAATAGTGGAAGAAACGCTGGCTTAAGAGGAAGGAAATCAATGTTTCGTTTTCAGCTCTGCCTTACATGAGCCATATAGGTCCAGGCAAGCTACTTAAGCTGTCTGAGCCTCAGTTCCATGATCTGGAAATTGAAGATGATAACATCTACCTTGCAGTACTTGGATGCAATCTCAAAAACAACAGAATGATCTCTGTTCATTTCCAAGGCAAACCATTCAATATCACGGTAATCCAAGCTTATGCCCCAACCAGTAACGCTGAAGAAGCTGAAGTTGAACGGTTCTATGAAGACCTACAAAACCTTTTAGAACTAACACCCAAAAAAGATGTCCTTTTCATTATAGGGGACTGGAATGCAAAAGTAGGAAGTCAAGAAACACCTGGAGTAACAGGCAAATTTGGCCTTGGAGTACAGAATGAAGCAGGGCAAAGGCTAATAGAGTTTTGCCAAGAGAACGCACTGGTCATAGCAAACACCCTCTTCCAACAACACAAGAGAAGACTCTACACATGGACATCACCAGATGGTCAACACCGAAATCAGATTGATTATATTCTTTGCAGCCAAAGATGGAGAAGCTCTATACAGTCAGCAAAAACAAGACCAGGAGCTGACTGTGGCTCAGATCATGAACTCCTTATTGCCAAATTCAGACTTAAATTGAAGAAAGTAGGGAAAACCACTAGACCATTCAGGTATGACCTAAATCAAATCCCTTATGATTATACAGTGGAAGTGAGAAATAGATTTAAGGGACTAGATCTGATAGACAGAGTGCCTGATGAACTATGGACGGAGGTTCGTGACATTGTACAGGAGACAGGGATCAAGACCATCCCCATGGAAAAGAAATGCAAAAAGGCAAAATGGTTGTCTGAGGAGGCCTTACAAATAGCTGTGAAAAGAAGAGAAGCGAAAAGCAAAGGAGAAAAGGAAAGATATTCCCATTTGAATGCAGAGTTCCAAAGAATAGCAAGGAGAGATAAGAAAGCCTTCCTCAGTGATCAATGCAAAGAAATAGAGGAAAACAACAGAATGGGAAAGACTAGAGATCTCTTCAAGAAAATTAGAGATACCAAGGGAACATTTCATGCAAAGATGGGCTCAATAAAGGACAGAAATGGTATGGACCTAACAGAAGCAGAAGATATTAAGAAGAGGTGGCAAGAATACACAGAAGAACTGTACAAAAAAGATCTTCACGACCCAGATAGTCACGATGGTGTGATCACTCACCTAGAGATGGACATCCTGGAATGTGAAGTCAAGTGGGCCTTAGAAAGCATTACTACAAACAAACCTAGTGGATGTGATGGAATTCCAGTTGAGCTATTTCAAATCCTAAAAGATGATCCTGTGAAAGTTCTATACTCAATATGCCAGCAAATTTGGAAAACTGAACAGTGGCCGCAGGACTGGAGGAGGTCAGTTTTCATTCCAATCCCTAAGAAAGGCAACCCCAAAGAATGCTCAAACTACCGCACAATTGCATTCATCTCACACGCTAGTAAAGTAATGCTCAAAATTCTCCAAGCCAGCCTTCAGCAATATGTGAACCATGAACTTCCAGATGTTCCAGAAGTGGAGAAGGAAATGACAACCCACTCCAGTATTCTTGCCTGGAGAATTCCATGGCCAGAGGAGGCTTGTGGGCTACAGTTCATGGGGTCTCAAAGAGTCAGACACGACTGAGCAACTTTCACTTCACTTTGTGTGCAAATTCCTAGCAAAGTGCATGGGACAATAAAGTCCTTGGTCAATGAGTTGATTCTAGAATCTTGAAAATCTTGACAATTCTAAGAGAAGTCTTGCAGCAGTACAAAGAGAGCTTATCTAATTAAAAAAAAATTCTTGAAAATGCATATTTTTTTAAAGAGATGAAAGCATGCATGCTCAGTCATGTCGGACTTTTTGTGACCCATGGGCTATAGCTAGGCTTCTCTGTTCATGGGCTTCTCCAGGCAAGCATACTGGAGTGGGTTGCCATTTCCTGCTCAAGGGGATCTTCCCTGACCCAGGGATCGAGCCAGAGTCTCCTGCATTTCCTGCCTTGGCAGGCAGATTCTTTACCACTGAGCCACCTGGGAAACACTTTTAGGAGATGGTGAGCAAGCAACAGAGTTGTGGAGAATTTCAAGAGTGAAAACTCAGTCGTCAGGAATACGCCAGCCTTATGCAGGAGGAGGGAGGCAGATTTAATGGACGTGGAAGAGACCTGAAGGAGAGCAGCCAAGGATGACTGTGAATGGAAGTCAGAGACCTCAAGTGTCAGCAGGCTGAAGTTTTACCCTTGAATGAGGTGGGAGAGCGTTGAAGAAGGTTCTTCCGGGTTAAATTAAATGGCATGTGTGAAAACTAAACTGTGGAGCATTTTACCAATGTATTAGACATTAAAGCGTGGAATGGATTAAAGTAAGAAGATGCCAAGGGGGAAAGGAGGAAGCTAAGGCATATCTGAGCCATGCAGACATACATGATACAGGCCTGGGGCAGGGGAATGGAGGGCAAGGAGATGAACAAAAGAATAGAGAATCATTAGTACCATTTCCATCATAAAATACAGAAAATTTAAAACATGATTAATACAATAAAATAAAAGAACAGGTAAGAACAAGGACCCACTGTATAGCTCAGGGAACTCTACTCAATACTGCATAATAATCTATATGGGAAATGAATCTGAAAAAGAATAGGTATATGTATAACTTCATCACTTTGCTATACAACTAAAACTAATATGTCACTGTAAATCAACTACACTCCAATAAAGAAGCAGTGAGACTTACTGACGGATCTGCTGGGCTCCAGAAAGGTCTTTTCTACTTTGTAAAGCACACCTGACTTTAAACATAAGCTATATGGCTCTGTATCCTGAACTTCACTAATTCCTCT